CGGCCCTTTCCAGTCGATGGGATTCAACCCAATGGCCATGATCTAGAGACGTTAGAATATTCGAGGAAATAAGCGGAATTTGTACCTTGACTAAGATCTCATCTTTGTGGGTGACTGTAGGGATGTCATGATCTGTCACGAGGCTATATTGCTCCCCTAAACCCTGCAGTAACAGGGCGCTCTGTTTTGCCTTCTTATGTTGTTTGGTGGCTGATGCGACGTCGACTTGGCGGGCGACGGTAGGCCCTGGTGCTTTCCCCGAAGACAAATGACGATGGAAGAGCGGTTCTTCCAGGCGACTGGCTAGGACATAAGTAGATACTGTAGTCATTTCGTCAGGGTAAATGATTCTCCTGTTGTGGCGCAGAGTCGAGGGTGTTGTCGATAGAGAATATGTATATCAGAATACCACTACGACGCCGTGCGCTTATGCATTGACCAAATATCATCTGTCTTTGCCATCAATTATTGAATCCTGACTCGACAACCATACTCGAGTGTATTGTCGGGTCTCATTGCTCTCCAAGAAAGTGGCATATGGCGCATGGCGGGGTTATGATGGCGTGATAAAAGCACAAATATGGTTCAGGAGACGAGGTTTATCATCATAACAGGCTTTATCCAGTTTCCCGGTCGCCAGAATGCTCCTAAGTTTCGTCCTGGTGGATCAAAACGTGGTTTCGCCATTATGATACTCTTCTCGCCATCCAGGTAGTCGCTGTGGGGTTGATTGACTGTTATCTCAGGGTCAGGACTACGGCTTCTCCAAATCATCTGCAAAGTCCGCGATGATGTGATTAGGGCTGATGATGGCGCCGATCGAAGTAGACCCAGAGAATCAAGACGCATCCACGAAACACAAAATTCAAATTTGCAAATGCTGTTTGGCAGGTCGAGACAATTTCCTCGACAGCATCACGGTTAGCATGTGTCTAGTAAATACTATACAGTCAAGGTAAACTTTGGATCGCGTACAGGACACGCTCGGAGTCCTTATCTGTCTACGCGACGAGTCTATGAGCGACATCTGCAGGGATACCAAAGCTCTCACGGTCAGATGAGCATTATTAATGCTGGTGGATGTAGACAAGCGCGGCCGACAATGGCGTGCCTAAAAGGATGTCACACAGTAACACTTATATGTAGCTCAAGTAGACTATCAAAGGAAATCGTTTGCATGAGACAGATATTATGGACTCTGATGCTGCTGACAAAATGGATGATGCCGAATATCAACCACTCTTAAACCCCGCATCCGGTCTGTATGAAACGCTTTCCTACGAGTCCATCCAAGACATCCGACCAAATGGACGTCCTGTGTCTAGCCGCAGCACAATCCCCGAGACCGCCACTTACGGCCGCAACCTCACATGGACGAGCGCCTATATCCTGGTAGTATCGCGCGTCATCGGCAGCGGCATCTTCGCAACTCCAGGCTCAATCGTGAAGTCGGTCGGAAGCGTCGGGCTGGCGCTGCTGGTATGGCTCGTGGGGACGGTTCTGGCAGCATGCGGCCTGGCTGTGTCGATGGAGTTTGGCTGTATGCTCCCTCGATCTGGTGGCGACAAGGTCTATCTCGAGTGTACGTATCGTCGTCCTCGCTTCCTGGCGTCAACGTTGATCGCCGTTCAGGCGGTTTTATTGGGCTTCACGGCGAGCAACTGCATTATATTCTCCAAGTACGCCCTCTTCGCTCTGAGCATTGAGCCGACAGAGTACCAGCAAAAAGCTCTGGCTGCAGGCCTTATGACTGCGATTACCATTGTGCACGGGTGTTTCCTTAAAACCGGCATATGGATACAGAATCTGCTGGGATGGATGAAGATCTTCATGATTGCAGCAATGACACTTACAGGGCTCTGGGTGATACTCTTTCGGCATGAGGAACACTCCATTTCCGTGTCGAATGGTCTCAACAGGACTGGATATGACGTGTTTCTGTGGGACAATCTGTGGGAAGGGTCAAACTGGAGCTGGAGCTTGCTTTCGACATCCCTTTTCAAAGTGTTTTACTCGTATGCCGGGCTGAATAATGTGAACAACGTCCTCAACGAGGTTCAGGACCCCATCCGGACGGTCAAATCTGTGTGTCCGTCCGCTCTCGTTACTGCTTGTTCTCTTTACCTGCTGGCAAACATCTCCTACTTTCTCGTCGTCCCAATCGAGGAGATCAAGAACAGTGGCGAACTTGTTGGGGCTCTCCTATTCGAACGCGTTTTCGGGCCTCATGTTGGTAGGACCTTGTTTCCTCTGGCGATTGCCGTTTCCGCCGCAGGAAATGTCATGGTTGTCACCTTTGCTTGGGTAAGTTGACTCGGTGACTTGAAGTGCAGTAGATGACGGTGACAGGCACGGGTGAATCAGGAAATTGCTCGACAGGGCTTTCTCCCTTTCTCCTCCATTCTCTCATCATCTCGCCCGTTCAATTCTCCTTTGGGCGGCTTGATTGTGCATTATATCCCGTCGCTCTTTGTGATCGTACTTCCCCCTCCCGGGGACGTCTACAGTTTTATTCTAGATGTCGAGGGCTATCCAGGCCAGATATTTGCCTTGGCTATTGCGGTTGGCCTCCTGATTATGAGGCGACGTCAGCCTAATCTGCCACGACCATTCAAAGCATGGCTTCCCGCGGTCTGGCTCCGAATCATCGTCTGCATTGCTTTACTGGCGGCGCCGTTTATACCTCCTCCGGACGGAAAGGGCGATGTGGACTTTTTCTACGCGACATATGCAGTCGTGGGTGTCGGAATGTAAGTCTGTCCTCCTGTTCAAGGGATTGGCTGACAAATATAGTGTACTCTTTGGGGTGATTTATTGGTATATTTGGACAGTCCTTCTTCCACGATGGGGGGGATACAGACTGGAAGAGGAGGTGGACGTGCTGGATGATGGGACGAGTTATTACGAAGCTTGTGCCATCATATATTCTTTAGCCTTTATCAATGATCTAGATTTTTGAATTCTTCTGATAGCGGATATCGATCTACATATTAGACTTGCAACCATGTTAGCTATAGCTCTATCATTCTCGAGACTGACTACGTCAGTTCAATCTATGAACACAGGTTATCCCCGTCTAGATGCGGTAGGAGAAACACGATCCTTTAGGTGTAGGCTAGTAGGAACTGCCAGTTCTCCAGTTAGGCTGCATTATCTCATAGAGGATGACGATTAGAAATGCACTGGTATATTATAAATGCATCATTAGGCTTCATTTGACATCTGTAAGCATCACATGTCGTTCGATGATGTACAGCATCCTGAAGAGCAACTCATCAATCACAGGGCCTGTCAGAGCCAATCGCTGTATTTCCTATTTCTCAGCATCTGATGCTTTCTAAGATGATGCTCAACTCGCAGCCATGACGTGCTGATCTGACAAATGCCTACCCCGCAAGAGAACTTCGTGATATAAGACCAGCTACGGAATGGCTGATTGATACATCACTATAGATCAAATCCAGAAGCAATTGCAAGAGAAGGACATCGACATGGCATCAGCAGCTGTTCAACTCCCAACTATTCATGAGCCTCAAGCTCAGAGAAGCTCTCTTCTTCCGACTGCAAATTCACCACATCATGTGCAAACCACACTTAATTTTCTAAAAGAGAACGAGGACGGCTCTCCCCCGGCTCCGTCCTACGTCGGCAAGCCAGAGACCTACTACCGACCTTCGGTGACGCTGCCTGTTACCGTCCACGACGTCAGCGGCCACGAGCTAGAGTACACACTGGACAAGAACGGCTTCCAGTTCTACTACCACGAAAGCAAGGAGAAGGACTTTGTCGACGATGAGAACATCAAACGGGAGTACTATCCCGAGATAGAGCAGCTGCTCAAAGATGCGTGAGTCTGGCCGCCCTCCTCAATGGACGATACTGACATCAAATCAGCACCGGTGCATCCAAAATCTTCATCTTCGACCACACGATCCGCCGCCAACCCAAAGACGAACGCAGTCCCGCCGCTCAACTCCGCGGTCCCGTCCAGCGCGTGCACATCGACCAGTCCTACGCAGCAAGCAGGGACCGCGTCTCCTACCACCTCCCCGATGAAGCCCCGGAACTCCTCAAGGGCCGGTACCAGATCATCAACGTCTGGCGGCCGATCCGGACCATCCTCAAGGATCCGCTGGCCGTCGCAGACGCACACTCCGTCCCGGACGATGACCTCGTCCCGACAAAACTCATCTACCCGAACCGGGTGGGCGAGACGTACGGGGTGAGACCGGATCCGGGCTTCAAGTGGTACTTCCGGTACGCGCAGCCTCCGGAGCTGGTGACGCTGATCAAGTGCTTTGATTCCAAGACGGATGGGCGGGCGAGGAGGGTGCCTCATTCTGCGTTTGTTGATCCGGCGACGGAGGGAGAGGCCCCGCGGGAGAGTATCGAGGTCCGGGCATTGGTGTTTCATCCAGAGGATCGTGAGTAGATTGCCTTGGGTCTGGTCCTGTCAGTCAGGCAAGGAGATTCTACCGTAGTTTCCATTCTTTCTTGTGGCTTATACGACAATGTGATTTAACAGACTGTACTGTCCATATCTTCTGAGATGACTTCAATTAGTTGACTCGATATGAGCATATTCTTGAGCCAGGTGCAGCCACTTTCTGGCATGTATTGTTCCGCAAAGCAAGGAATCAAACCAAGTCTCGTAATTTTCAAACTTCTCACTTGAAGGATTTAATCATAAGATAGAACCAATTGTTACTGGAGTGCGCTCCCTCATATTGATCATCCCAGCTAAAATGCCGTGCGAGCACGTAATCCGCCTCCCCAAAAACAACATTACTTTGAACTCTTGGCTCGGAGATTTGGCCATGAATAACTTCGACGACACTGTATCTATCAGTTTAAGGTTTCGTCTAATTACCTTGTGGTGATAGCTCGCAACAATCGGCATTGATGATTCGTGATATTCGCCATCGCGCGCTAGACATATAAAGCAGTGCATCCACACATGAACAGGGTTGTCCAGCACCTGGAACCCTAGCAACATCAAAATGGCCGCGCCCGAGAAAGAAGTCCGTCCCACAGACGAAGAGGTTGCGCGCAGCATATCGCCAGAACCAAAGAAGTATCCCGGTAAGTCACTCCTCCGGTAGCTTAACGTCTCTAACGAAACAGTCAAATGGTACCGCTCGACGTTTTACAACGCCCTCATCCTGGGTATCTGCAACTTCCTTGCCCCCGGCATCTGGGGCGCCATGAATTCGCTCGGCGCCGGGGGCGCAGAGAAGCCCTACCTCGTCAACGCCGCCAACGCACTGACGTTCTGTCTGATGGTCGTGACCTGCTTCTTCGGCAGTGCGGTCGTGCGCCTTGTCGGCATCAAATGGACCCTCGTGATTGGGACGATGGGTTACGCCCCGTATGCTGCCGGGCTGTATACGAACAACCGCTTCGGCACGGAATGGTTCGTCCTGGTCGGCGCGGCGCTGTGCGGTCTTTCGGCCGGGCTATTCTGGATGGCAGAAGGGGCCATTGCGCTGTCGTATCCGGAACCACACAATCAAGGCCGGTTCTTGGGATTCTGGCTCAGTTTCCGCGTGGGTGGCCAGATCCTGGGCGGCGCGATCAACCTGGGAATCAATTCGAGCCGATCGAAGGCCGGAAGCGTCTCGTACTCGGTCTACCTGGTGTTTATTGCGTTACAGGCTCTCGGTCCCTTCGCCGGACTGCTTCTGAACAAGCCCTCCCAGGTGCAGCGAACGGATGGTCTCCCCGTCCACCTGCGCATCTCGCACAGTCCGCTGTATGAGCTCAAGGCGATGGCAAAGCTGTTCATCCGCCGGGACTTTCTGTTGATCGTCCCACTCATCGTGCAGGCCGTGTTCACCGAGGCCATCATGTTTACGTTTCTGTCGCTGTGGTTCTCCGTGCGGGCTCGTGCGCTCGGCTCGTTCCTATCCGGAATCATCGCCTTGACCGTGGGCAACCTGCTCGGGGCGTTCCTCGACAATCAGAAGCTGTCGCTGCGGTCGCGGAGCCGGGGGGCCTTCTTCGTTGTGCTTGGTCTGCAGGGCGTATGGTGGGTTTGGGCGACGGTCATCGTGACCGAGTACCATCGCACGCTGCCGACGTATGACTGGACGGATGCTGGCTTTGGGCGAGGCTTTGCGCTGTATTTGTTCTGGGTTGCGGGCTTTCAGCTCAATTACATGTATCTGTATGTGCATTGACCCTGTCCTTGGATCCGTGCTAACAAGGCTAGTTTCTTTGTCGTCGGCAATCTGGCGTCGGATGAAGAAGAGGTTGTCCGGATGGCCAGTCTTCTGCGGGGAACAGAGTCGGCCTCGCAGGCTGTATCGGTAGGTCCACTTTCACTGACGATTCAATACTTGCTAATTTCTGTAGTACGGTCTGGACAGTGTCAAGATCATGAGCTCTGTTGGCAGCACCTACCTGAATTTTGGTTTGTGGGCTATCGCGCTGCTGCCTGCGTGGCTTGTGATCAAGGAGATTGGAGTGTCTCTGGGAGATAGGAAGGTCGAACGGGAGACTCGGCGGATTGACAGTGATTCGCAAGAATAAACATGTATTCTCTCTATCGAGAGGTATATATAGAATGTCTGACGATGGCTTGCCCAACAATGAACGAAGCGCCTCATATATATATGCAACAATATTAACAAATAGCAGATCATGTCGACGGGTATTCAGACTACACTCTCGCTAAAATCCAGTCGGCAATATCATCGGCAAAGACCTGTCGGTTCTCAGGCAGGTCCGCGTGCAGCAGATGACTCCATCCCTCGTAGGACTTGAACTTGCGGTCGGCGACCTTGCCAGTCTGCGCGTCGAACCAGTGCTTGCTGGCATCATAACTGGTGACCTGGTCCGCCGTCCCATGCGCCACATACACCGACTTGATGCCATCATTGAGCACCAATTTGCCTGAGGTCAGATCAGCCGCCCGGTCGAGCATATTGGCAAACATTTCCAGCGTGCCGGTGGTGTGGTTCAGGGGATCCTCCTTGAGCGTCTTCTGCACGACGGGATCGCGCACAATCGTCTCGACCTTCATGGGTTGGATGAGTTGGAACCGTGGTAGGAGCCGTCCGGCCAGCCGACCCAGTAACACGGTAATGACATTGGGTTTCTGCTTCGGGTCGAGCCCGATGAACGGGGCCTCGAGCATGATCCCCCGGAGTCGGGAGACGAGCTCTTGATACTTGGGCGTCGAGGCCAGCGTGGCGACCAGACCGCCGCCCATCGAATGGCCCATCACAAAGACGGGGACATCTGGCGGGACCTCGAACTGAGCCTCGATGAATGCTGCCATGTCGGCCAGGACGGCGGCGGTCGGGCCTGTGTTTCCACGGTCGGCTTTTGTCTGGGCCGACCGACCCCAACCACGCTGGTCGATTCCCGTGCAGAAAATTCCACGGCGGGCTAACGAGGGGAACAGATCACAAGTGTTGTTCATGTGGTCACTGAAACCATGAAAATGAATCAATTTTGCGACCGGGGGCGTCGTTGGCTGTGGCAGACATCAGTTTAGTGCCAAGAACGGGCAATGGCAGGAGGGAGCAAACGGACAGCCCACGTTTTGTGGTAGACCTGTAGCCCGTCAGGGAGCTTGAACTGGCTTTCGGTGATGGTGATGTCGGTCATCTTGCGGATTGATGTGTTTCTGATGGACGCTGCGATGAACCACTTTATCAGAATAAATTGAAGCTAATCAGGGGTATTTCAGCTCATTCTCAGCTGCTGAGGCTGAGGGAGATCCGAGGCTGTCCACGGCACGTGCAAGGCGCAGTCACGGGATCCGTTGCTGACATATCACGAGAAGGATCCATTTCTGGAGGATTTTATGCAGTAGGGAGAATGATAGAATCTATGTACTATTGCTTCCTTTCTGCAGAACAGATGTCTACCACTATTTAGTTCTGATTTCGGGTCGATATATATCTTGCCTAAAGAGCCAGGGCCGATATGTTGACAAATAAGCTTTTGTAATGGGCAGACCGCAGGCCTACAGTAGAGGTAACTGCAATCTGCCTTCTGAAGGACTGTTTGTATTTTCTTTCTTTGCAGTCACTCGCGCCGTCGATGTTCTGGAAAGAGGACCAAATTCCGGATGACAGAAGCGCATAATACTTACGCAGCTCGCCATCCCGTCAGTCGTTGAGGAACGGATGCTCCATCAACTTCTGAGCCGTCTTTCGCTCCTCGGGCAGCCATGCAAGCATTTGTTTGATAAAAGACAAACAGGCTTCCTTGTCGCCTGTTTCTAAAGATGGAACTGAATCTTCGAGTTTCCGAGTCGGTATCAGGTCATCGTAGAGGAATTTGCCTGCCACAATATGAATCAGCAATTGCAAAACGTCATATTATTGCTCGCTTACCGTCGTCATCGAAAAATGGCCCACCAAAATACTCCCTATTATTCTTGTATATCTTGCCCCTCTCGTCTGTGATGGCTGGAGACCACTCAACCTGTGCCATGGAATCCGACATGACAAGCAATTTTTTCGGCGGTGGGCCTAGCAGTGCTATCATCTCCGCGAGATGTGCTTTTGGATCATAATTCCCTTCAGCATCTTGCACCTGAGTAAATAACTCTGTACCTTCAATTATATTCCACACCTGTTGCAGAGTGTGAGTAAATATATGTCTATGTCTGTGATAGACTACTGCGTATGTTGTATATGTATCTCTTACCATGACTCCCAAATTCCATATATCCGCACTAAAGCTCCAACCGCAACCAAGAACAACTTCCGGCGCACGATAATAGTCGGGTTGTATGGGACGGGTACCAAGTTGAACAGTGCCATCATGCCTGTCGTTGTCGAGTAGAGTCGCCGCGCCAAAATCGGTTATTTGGGGATACATATTGCCTAGTCCACTCGGTTCAAGAGGTCCGAAGTCGTTGTGACAGCGATAGACAACTCGGCCGGTGTTTGGATCGGTTTTGCATTGCATAGACCGGGCCGCCTGTTCTTTGACAAATTTTGGGAGGATCTTTTCACTTTCAAAAGTTATGAGTATATTGTCGAGTTTCAGGTCTGAAAACATACATATTAGTTCATTATTCCTAAAGCGAGTGGGTATGGTTCGGTTACTTGCCAGTGTGGACAACCCTGCATTCAGAGTGTAGGTAATCGAGGCCGGCCAAAAGAATAAGAATATACCCTTTAGCCATTGACAGAGGGAATCTCTCGCTCTCAAACCGTCTCTGGAGAATCCAAAGGGGCTCCCGTGCAGGCTCGTAGGCTAGGCATAGATGATTTCCTATGGGACCTGTCACTTCAAAGCTGTCAAGGCAATTGCGGATGACCGGACGACCGCGGTGTGAAGGGTTTTGCTGTCCAATGTGTTCTTCAATATCACGCTCATGGTGAGCGCCTTTAGGATTGTCGTTATTGATGATTTTCAGAGCCACAAGGCGCTCAGTCTGCCATCGATATCTACCGGATAGCCATCGAAGTTAGTGATGCAAACCCATGACCTCAGTTATAGAAAGTCAGTGCATGCCTTGCTACATCTCGTGCAAGCCATACGGTTGAACCCGCTCCCCATCCAATCTTAACCAACAATTGATAATGATTGGCAAGAACTTCTCCCGGTTTCGCGGGGTAATAGTGCTTGGGATTGTAGCCGGGGCTGATCTCCTCATCCACAAGTTCGCGATGAGGAATGGAAGTTGCCGAGACTGGTGGCGAGAGCTGGAGAGGTCTGGCGCGGAGGAAGGATATGCGCTTCATTGCACGGTTTATGGACTGCATTTCATTGTAGAAGAAGCGCTTCCCTGCGAGGTTAAACTATGGCGCGCGTAGCGAGGAGCTGAGTCGGGTTGTAAATAACGAAGTCAACAAGGAGAAAAAGAGGATAAACAAAGAGCTATTAGCGCGAAGGCCAAAGATTCTTAGCACACGCTAAAAGGTTGTACCAAGCAAGAATGTATTTTTAAATATGGTCAACATTGGAAACAGTTGCAATATAAGATAAGATATATATGTCTGTAGCCTCATTTGGCTGATTGTTGTGGCAGGCAAACAGATCGACAGCTTGCTCTCCGACTAGGTGTAAGGATAATCCACTGGACAGGGTAGATAAGCCTGTTGACTAGGTAAGCCTCTTGGAAATGATAAAGGATAGGGTACTTGGTTAGAATAGTATGGTAGAATAGTAGATTTATTAATAATAAGACTAATCCTTATCTTCCTAACCTGTTAGATAAGGGGGTCTATATATATCTTTATTACTAATATATTATATTTATAGTAGTCTTTCATAAGCATCTTAAGGTATAAAAATAGGTAATTAAAAATAATATACTTAATATAGCTATCTATAAGTATAATATAGATTAAGAGAAAATAATATAGAAGCTATACTTAATCTATTATAAATTATACCCCTTCTTACTATAATAACTATCTATAGTTATATATAGCTTTAAGATTTCTTAAAATAGTAATAACTATTAGTATAGTATATTAAGGGTGTAGTAATATTATAAAATTACTATTAATATAATATTATTATATTAATATAAAGCCTTTATTATAGTATGCTCTTTATTATATAGTTAATAATATTAATATAAATAATATAATTATTATAAGTAACTAAAGTATATTACTTCTTTATTTTATATAGTAGTCTAATTCTTTATTTTCTTTTCTTCTTTCTTTTCCTTCTATATTTAGTACTTTATTTATCTTATACCTTTATCCTAGCCTTATTTCTTAAGGTTTTTATCTTTATTTTATTAGATTTTATTACTCTTATAGTTATTTTATTAAGACTATTTATTAATATTATACTACTATATATTCTAGTATATGCTATATATATAATATCTATAAAGCTACTATTTATATAATATCTAAAGTATTTATATATTATAGTAAATAATTTTAATATTAATAATAAAGAACTATTTAAGATTCCTTATACCCTTAATACTATTAAGTTAGTGCTATATAAGTAGTATTCTAAATATTATATAACTTATTTAATTATATATATCTCTTCTTTATATTTTATAAGTATACTAACTAGCTAGACTTTAGAGGATATACTAAAAAATATATATAATCTTACTATAATCCTAGAGTAGTACTCTAGCTTCTTTAATTCTAATAAGGATTAGGTAAATATAATATAGAGTAATCTCTCTTATACTATTATTATTTTTATCTCTATATTTAACTATATTAAGCTATACTATTACTATTATTATAGTTTAACTAATAATAAATAGACTATTATAGTAGGTTCTTTATTATCTTAGTAATAATATTATAGTATATTTCTAATAATAACCTAGGGTAATATACCTACTTATTAGATTTTTTATACTACTTATTAGAGTAAGCTTAGTTCACTATAGGCCTCTAGTCTTAATACTAGTAAGGTAGAGTAGAAATACTATTATAGTTAGTAGTTACTATATTTAATTCTAGATAATAATAGTTATATAACCTAGATTACTATCTAATATTATTTTTTTAATATAGTTTATTATATTATTACTTACTATTATAGTAATGATAATCCTAATAGAATTTTTTATCTAGTAGATATTAAGAACACTTTTCCTCTTATCCTTAAAGAAATTTAAGAAGATTATTAGGTATTAGTAATACCCTTATACTTTAATAATAATCTTTTATTATACCTAGCTTTTCCTAATATAACTATATTAAATAGAATAAATAATTTTACTTTATATCTTTTATACTTCTAAATAACTCCCTAGATATTTATTATATTATTAGTATATATCTATTAGTTATACTTTAATAGCTAATCTTTCTACTTTACTAAATAATAGAGTTTATTATTAATAAATTAATTATCTTTAACCTCTTTAACCTCCTACTTATTATTATCTTTAAGCTCTAGNATTAGTAGTRTTTTATTATTCTTTAAATAATTCTATAGTTCTAAATATAATATATAAAAGATATTATAGATTTAATTATATTAGATAGGTAAAGTAATTTAATATACTTATATATCTATAGTTGTAAGATCGCCTACTAAGAGTCAATATTAACTGGTAAGATCAGCATGAAGGGAGCAATTATCTATATATTACCTAAGTAAGGAGAAYTAATTACTAAGTTATAGAATACTTAGCTAATTATAGAGATATATATAGTAGATTATATAATCTACTAGGTCTAAACCCTCTATACTATTAGTATTAGCTATATATAGTARCTTTATAGTTTACTATAGCYCTTAATAATTACCTCCCTTCCTTATAGGCTTYACCCTTAAAGCTATAATACTTCCTAATTTAGAAATCTAAGGRGCTTYACCTTCYTRGGTTAAYATTATCTTYCTATAGTTATTTAAAATAYAGGAGTAAATCTCTTATTAGTAGATAATATATTCTATTACTATTATAGGTTATAGTGTTTATTTTAATTCTATTATAGATAAATAATTAATAGTAATTATTACAGACCTATAAAGATATATTATATTTCCTATAGTATAAGTAGATTTATAGATCTCTAGAGAACTTCTCCTTCTTCTCTTCTCTTATTAGTACTATCAAGATGCCTACTTAGTAAGATCTTCTAATTAGTTTAGTAATATAGATTCTTCTTTATCTTTTATAGCTTCCTTACTCTATTTATTACTCTCTAGCCTGTATCTAATAGCTAAATAGTTAATTTTAGATGGTAAGTTCTGCATTAAGTAATTAATTTAATAGATTAGGTTAATAATAGTTTAGATTTATAGGTCTTGCTTCTCTTTATTAAATAGTTTCTTATATATATTTAGTAATTCTTTATCTAAATTAAATAGCTTTATTAATATCTTCTTTTACTTATAATCCTATTATTCTTATAATTTAATATTCCCTCTATCTTATAATTCTATTATCTCATGACTTATTATTTTCCTTTATCTTATGATTCTATTATCTTAATATAACTTATTATTTTCCTTTATCTTATAATTCTATTATTTCATGGTTAAGATCATCTAAAGTTTATTAGATATAGGTTCTTTATATTATATAATAGTAATTTTACTTATTAATATATTTCCCTTCCCTATTATAAAAAGGGAGGAAGTCCATGAGAGAGAGAATTAATATTATTAATACTAGTAAGACCCTAGCTTTATAGAATTATATACTAATAATACCTTATAGAGTTCCCTATATTTTATACCTTTAGGTAAAGCTCTATAACCCCTAGCATTACTGCTATAACTATTTTATAATAAATAGCTATATATAGAAGGCCTATAATTACTATACTCTAAAAAAGTATAAATATATCTATATAAGTATCCCCTTCTTCTATATTACTACTAATCTAGCTATATTTCCTTAGTATTTAGCCTATTTATAGTTTTTTATTATAGATTTCTTTTATATTATAGTTATATCTTATAGATTTTACTAGAATCTATTCTTTCTTTAATAATTCTGAGTTAAATTTTAGCTTTTCCTTTTAGCTTTTAGGGCTATATAATTCCTCTTTTTATAGATTTTACTAATAGTTTATAGGTGCCTTTAGATAAATAATATTATATTTATATAGTATTTTATATCTACCCCCCCCTTTAAAGGAGAGTAATTACTAATACCTTAGACTATATCCTAATAATACTAGCTATGTAGGCTGTACTAGTAGTCTAGATTATTATATTTATAGCCCTAGCCCCTGCTCTACCTCCTCTAGCCTTAGCTCCTTTACTATCTCCTTCTCTAGAGTAGTATATTACTCCACCCCTATAGGCTATATTACCCCTCTCTACTCTAGGGTCCTCTATGATTTACTATATAATTAGTTAGCTTGGTTTTTAAGTAGTATATAGGCTAGATAGATAGGAGGGTATATTTATATAGTCTATATATTATTTTTCTATTTCTTTATATATATAGTAATTAAATTAAGACTTTTTTCTATGCTATTTAGGTTACCTTATAGTAGTACTTATAGATTATAGAGTTCTAGATATAAGATAGTACTTAAGAGCTTCTATATTTATAATATACTCTTCTAGCTCCTATATATTATTAGAATCTAGCTATCTAGTCTACTTAACTAGATATTAGTGTTTTCTATAGTATAATTAATTATCTAAGATCTTTTCTACCTGTTATTCTTAGTATCTATTAAGCTTAACTAGTCTAGATTTTAGATCTATATTAGAGTCCCCTTAGAATGATTTAAGTAGTGAAATATAGAATATTAGATATAGCTTATAGAATTATAGTAGGAGCTTTAGCTTATAGGCTTATTTACTAGTAGATTTACTAATCTAGAATAGACCTATTTACTAATAGTCTAGCTTCTTGCTAGGTCTACCTATATTAATGTTTTTTATGTATAGCATAACCTATTCACTAATATAGAATACTATATTAAGATATTTCTAGTTATAGTAATACTTTATAGCTTCTTTTATTATATTTAGTTAACTTAATAGGAACTCCCTTATGGCTTAGAGATCTTCTATATATATAATAGTATTTAGGTTAAGATTATTAGTTATTTATAGAATATTAATCTATAGTTCTGGTTTATAGCTCATAAGTGCTTATGCTAGTGGAATTCCTAGTACTAAATATTTAGAATTATTATAGATAAACTAGGTATATAGTAGCCATCTTATCTAATCATCCTAATAGTAGTTTATATAGGCACAGAGGTAGTATTCTAATATTTAGTTTTACCTTTCTATCTAACTATTAGTTTATAGATAAAATGCTATAGATAGGTGG